CCCTTCTCCCACTTCTGCCTGCTAACGAAAGCCTCTCGTATCTTCACATTGGGGCCTCTGCACTTTTTTGCTTTACATGCCCAAACCACCTCAGCCTAGCTTCCCGCAGCTTATCCTCCACAAGTGCCACTCCCACCTGTTCCCGTATAACCACTTTTTGAATCCTATCTAACCTTATCGGCCAACACATCCATCGTAGCATCCTCATCTCTCCCACATGAAGTTGACAGACGTGAGTTTTCTTTACCGCCCAGTACTCTGCTAGGTAAAGCATAGCGGTTTGGCTACTGACCAGTAGAATGTCCTTTTCATGCTAGCCGATATTTTCGTGTTGCACAGAACATCTGAAACAAGCTTTCACTTTGCCGAAGTGGCTCCAATACGATGAACAACATCCCCATCTTCATCTGCGTGAATGACCATTGACCAAACCAAAACACCAAAACTTGTCTCTCTTAGGTGCTGGATGTGATTCGATCCTAATTTTCACTCCCGACTCTGTCCCTCGGCCACTAAAGCGACATTCCATGTATTCAGTGTTAGTCTTGCTCAATCTGAAGCCGATTTGCAAATCAAGCATTATATAACGTAAATTATTTTAGCTGTACAATGTTTTATGTTCGCTCCGTATATTTATATGATTTATAAGAAGTGAATAGGAACCAAGTGTTTCTAGAAACAACTGAATTGCTCTTTCAAACTAACTCGTAATGATGGTATGCAGAATTTCATCTATTACTGGACATGAATTAGTTGTTGGTTTGCATTATATACTGCACATTGCTTTTAGCTTTGCCTTAGTCATTTCCCCCCTCGGAGAAGAATATTATTTATCACCAGTAACTATTTTGTCATGTTTTTAAACTTTACAATAATTTTGGTACATATGTTTGTTTTAATTGCAGGACATTCATTGAAGACTCTGGAGCTGGCATAAAGATTTCTCCTCAAGACAGCAGTTTACCTGGGTTCCATGATAGGTTAGTGACTGTTACCGGCACTCTAAATGAACAACTCAGAGCTACTGAATTGATTCTACATAAGTTGGCAGAAGACACTTCATATATGCAGGCCATGGATGCCCCCTTTTCATATTCAGGTTTGGGATTCATTTTTTAATTCTCACACTTCCGAATTCTTCAGGTTTGAGATTTGAATAGCAATGGTTACAAAAATTAGAGCACAGAAATGCTGTAGTTTCTGTGTCTCTATTTTCAATCTGGCTAAAGTTTGAGTCGTTTACTACAAGTTTTCTACTACTTTTGCAGCAGTTTATATGGGAATGAACTATGTGCCAAATGGAGTTGGAGGGAGATTTCAGAATAATAGATATCATCAAAGCAAGGTCAGACAATCTTCTGATTTTATTGCATGTTCAATGTTATTGTCTCTTGCACCTTAAATTTATGAATCAAGTTGTGTTTAGAACTTTGGCCAGTTGCAGGAGGATATGAGCGACTCTGTGACTATCGGTGTTGCAGATGAGCATATCGGATTGGTGCTGGGACGGAATGGAAGGAACGTTATGGAGATAAGTCAGGTTTGTGTTGTGTGTGTGAAGCAAATGAGAAATGATCTCATGCGCCTGACCAATTCTTCAGCCCTAAATTCTCCAAGCCATTAAGATCAGCCACACCATTTTAAGCCCGTCAAGTGATGTAATGGCTTGGAGCAGATTTAGTCAGGCGCCCTTGATTTTCATAGTTGTGCTAAGACTTTTTTTTTCTTCCCTTTGCCAGCTTAGTGGAGCGAGAATAAAGGTCTCCGACAGGGGCGATTTCATATCTGGGACTTCTGATAGGTATGTGAGACCGTTGGAATCTCCTCTGATCTTCTCTCCTTGCTTTCTTGAACTTGAGAAAAGACTGTGTTTATCATGCTGAGCTGTTTTGCAGGAAGGTGACTATCACCGGGTCCCAAAGAGCAATTCGTACAGCCGAGTCTATGATCTCTCGGAAAATAGCTTCCGTCATTCAGAGGTAATGGAAGCTTTCAATTCATACCATAGCTCCTTCCTAATGGTCACTTTTGTTACTTGAGGCGAGCCGTAAACAGCTCTGATCTGAAGCAAGGAGAGCCGGGTTTTTTTTTGTTGTTGGAAAGAAAAGCATGATGTTATTTCTGGGAATTCTTTTAGGAACAAAGCTTTCAGGCATATGTCTAATTTAATCGACAAGATATTGATAGTGGGCGAGTGGTACATCTGATAGTAGCTACTGAGATTACTTCCAGATTATAAACAAATAATAACAATTATCTTTTTAATTTATAATTTTGAGAAATCTTTTTCTTATGAGTCTATGATGTGGGGTCATTCAAGAGACCCGATTCATTCTTGTGCATTCACCGGATTTTTCTGCACATCGAAGTCCATACCTAAGAGCATGGAGACCCACTTCTATTGCAAAATTGAGGTCACTTTGTTCTATTATGTACTTTTATGCTTTGATGATCCCGGCTTTGGCTCTTTTTTATTAAAAAATTATCTTTCTACTTCTTCCAGTCGATTTAAAAATGAATTTATATATGGTTAATGTAAAATAAACATATGCAAATTTATAACATATCATCTCATACACAAGGATGGGTTCTTTTTTAAATGCAAAATTAGTGTTTTCTAACATATTTATTTGGGTGATTATTTAATTAAATCATTTTTTCACACTTTAATTCTTCTAATATTTTCTTATTCCTTCAAAAATTTTTTAATTTTTTTTAGTTTCTCTCAACTTTTAGATTTTTCTAATATCTAACTCTGAAATTTTAATTCAAAAGAATAAGATCTTAATAGTGTTGTGTTTGCCCTGGAAGCAATGTTTCCGCTTGAAATCAGTGTCTGCACAAACAAGATGATGCGACCCCTACGAGGGCTGCATGGTAACCCACATTGCGAGTTGATAATTTGATTCCGAGGATTTTCCAAAAACAATTTGTTACTCGATAGACTTTAGCCTAACAACAAGAAAGGTATGATTTAAAAGCTCATAGTATTTAACTCCCACACTCTTACGAGACACAGCTGTAGCAACACAAAGTATAATTTTACAACTTACAAGTTGAAACTTTTGCAAATCTCACAAGTTTGGGTCAAGAAAAACACTCAATTTTAATTCCATTCAAACTTCCAATGAAGAAAATGCAGCCTATTTGTAGAAATGATTAGCTCATCCTTAATTCTCCAATGGAGTAAATACAACCTATTTATAGGAATGATACACGCTAAGCCACGAACTTACAAGACAAAACAAAAAATTTATTTTACAAATCAAAAAATAGTAAAGATTTTTACAAAACAAAGAGAGTAGAATATAAATTTGTTTTTTTATTTACCCTAACATTTATACTCAAACATATTGTGAAATTAAGAAGGCCATCATTTGCCAAAAAAAATAAAAAAAATAAAATAAAAAAGGGATATATTTATTAAAAGAATTTTAAAAGGACTAAAAACAAATGGACAAATTGTCCAGAATAATCTCACATAAACCCAATTTTTCAAAAATAATCTCATCTTTCACTGTGATGCATAATAATCTCACATGAACTAAAATTTGCGTGTTTTGGATTGCAGTGAAGCTGCTAACGATTGGTTAATAGAAATGGTATGTTCGGGCAACAACATGAAAGGTGATTTTTTCCCCATAAGTTTTCATATTCATTTTTTTTTAAATTTTTCTTAACTTTTTAAAATGACTTTCTCATTTTTTTGTTCTTTTTTAATACTAGTCTTACTTCAAAAAAGAATTTAAAAAATAAATAAAAAATTAAGAAAATGAGAAACACAACTAAAATCATAAAAAATAATGAAATAAAAAGGCAATCAATAAAAACTAACCTAAAACTGCTAAGAAATAAAAGTAAAAAAATACGGAGTGGTGGGTTCTGAAGTTTTAGGCACTATACGAAGTATTAATGTATAACTTCCTCCCGTTGGTAAAAATGAGAATAAAAATAAAAACTATGAAAATAAAAAAATTATTTTCTTATTAAAATCTTAAAAATTCAAAATAAAAATAAAAAAAGGAAATTGGGAAAATACTTTCTTACATTAACGTATTCTGTTTTATTATTTTTTTATAAAAAAATTTTTTTCCTTGGGATTTTAATAAGAAAATAATTTTTATTTTTTATTTTTATTTATTTTTTTCGTTATTCCAATGAGAGAAATAATACATTAATACTACGTATAATGCCTAAATTCCTAAAACATTAGAACACACCCCTCCATATATTTTTGTTTTTAGTTCTTACGAGTTTGAGTTTAGTTTTTATTGATTATCTTTTTATTTGATTATTTTTTATGGTTTTAGTCGAGTTTCTCATTTTTATTATTTTTAATATCTTTCTTTATTTTTTTGAAGTAAAACTAATCTTTATAGAAAAAAGAAAAAGAAATGATGGAGGAAGAAAGTGATTTTATAAATCTAAGGGGAATTGTTTTCAAAAGAAGACTTTATAAAAAATAATGCCACCTTTCATATTTTTCCGAAAAATATGTCATTTCCAATTTCCATAAAAGGTTAGATTATTTTTGAAATAATCCCACCCAAAATACACACATTTTAGTACATGTGGAATTTTTATGCATGACAACAAAAAGTGAGGTTATTTCTAAAAGATTCAATAAATGTGTAATCATTCTGGATAGTTTTTTTCAAAATACAATTTACTAATTGATGTGGATCAAAACATGTTTTGTCATGCCCTATTTACAATTTTTTTACAAGAAAAATTTAATTAAAAAATGTTGAAGCTAATGATAAAAATTAAAATTTACTTATATTAAAAAGACTAAAAATATATTTAATGTATCGTTGGAAATTAGAATAGTGTAAATAATTTGAAACGAAAGAAATACGGAGTATACGGAGTATTTTTTAAATTAATTAATTGAGTAAAAAGAGAAAAAATGGATAGATAAAATTCAACATAAGATACGTGTGATCTGACAAGTGTCTTATGGACGGCCTTATACTTCATATTTCAATCCAAATGCTCTGCTCAGTGCCTTTCCCTTTTTCCCTCCCTCCAAAACCAGTACCCAGAAAAATCTCTTCTCAACGAAACCCGAAATCGCTCTCTCTCATTCTCTCGTCGGCCGACAACCACCATGGCGGCGGCGGCGGCGATAGAGCTCAGTTGCTCCTCATTATCTTCTTACGCCGTTAAAGATTGCTCCTTTAGCTCTTCAAATGCCCATAAGCGGCGTTTGAATGTTCTTAGGCCTGTTCCTCGCAATACCCATTGTGCCAAAGTTTGCTCTTCTCTCACCTCCAAGTAAGTTTATTGAATGGATGGGTTTCTTCGATTCGATAGTTCTGCCACCTTTTCTGCATCACTTTTCTTGTGGGGTTGTTTTCTTTGGCGCAGTGAAGTCCAAGCTCCCGTGGCCGTGTCTACTGAGGACCCCAAGAAGAAGCCAGAGTGCTATGGAGTCTTCTGTCTCACTTATGATCTTAAGGCTGTAAGTTCATTTCTTCTTCACTGCCTTATTCATTGTTCGATTATGCATTGCAAGTGAAAAGTATGGTGTAACCAGGCCAGTTTGTGATCTCTCCTATTTATGTCAGAGAGTTGGATCCTTTTGTATATTAACTCTCTTGCCTATCTGAGATCTCTATACTTTCTCTTGGTTATCTAAACGATTTATGTGTTGTGATTTGATTTAGCCAGTTATTTACCTGAAGCTAAAATGTTATAGAAAATGACTCCTTGATCTCCATTGGCAATGAGCACAATGGCACATTTACATTCATTTATATTCCCACCGTCTCATAGGAAAGTTCATGGTTTGACTATCACATAGTTTAGAACACTGTTGAAAAGTGAAATATGTGTAGCCAAAATTTGTTTAGATGAGAGGCTTTTTGTGACCCACTTAATCATCTTTTTGAAGGAGAAAAATTAAGTAGGGAGTTTTCTGGGACATTCAAGGAGCGAATGTAGGAAGATTTTTGTGGGACGGAGAAGTATAATTTTTAAATTTGTAATGTATATGTCATAACCTTTCACAGGAAGAAGAGACAAGATCTTGGAAGAAAATGATAAAAATCGCTGTTTCTGGCGCTGCTGGAATGATTGCTAATAATCTCCTTTTCAAGGTGACATTCATATTTCTCTCTTCTACATGAAGCACAAAGTATAGTTGTCAAGCCTCGGGGTGTTCACTGTTTCTCTATCTTAAACATTAGTGTCTAAGGTAAAATCATAAGTCCTAAGGAATTGTATTGCTGGTTTTCCAGCTAGCAGCAGGCGAGGTTTTTGGACCAGATCAGCCCATTGCTCTGAAACTGTTGGGATCTGAGCGCTCACGGGAAGCTCTGGAAGGTAGTACTTTCTATGATTGAGTGTAATTGGTTGATCATAATTATTAAGATTTGGGAAATACATATCTGCAAATAAATGTTCCCGGCTGTAAGTTGATGGTGATCTTGTTTGAATTGGAAGATACATAAAAGATGAATGAAAAATCTGATGAAGATTTGCAATCTCGCAGGAGTTGCTATGGAACTAGAAGACTCACTTTATCCTCTATTAAGAGAAGTGAGCATTGGCATAGATGCCTATGAAGTGTTCCAAGATGCCGAATGGGCGCTTCTGATTGGTGCTAAACCTCGAGGCCCTGGAATGGAACGAGCCGCCTTACTTGACATAAATGGGCAGATCTTTGCAGAACAAGTAACTTCTTCTCCATAAATATAGAGATTGAAGGAGAACAAATGTTTTGTTTTGACTTGTAAATTGTAAATAACGGTGGACGAATGATCATTTTATTTACTTCAAATTTTCATACATTATCTACTTGAACACACAGGGAAAGGCTCTGAATGCTGTCGCGTCGCGCAATGTGAAAGTGATAGTTGTTGGAAACCCGTGCAATACCAAGTACTAATATTTTGTACCTTTCTATTTTCCTGCTTATATGCCAAGTCCTATGCTACTTGCCACTGCTTTCGGTACTGATTTTCCTTTCATCCTTTCTAGTGCACTGATTTGTTTGAAAAATGCTCCAGACATACCGGCAAAGAACTTCCATGCATTAACTAGGTTAGATGAAAACAGAGCAAAATGCCAGGTTTGCCCTCCCCCCGCCCCACCCACCCACCCGAATGAGCATTGGAATTACTAAGGCTCAATTCTCAGCAAAAAAGATTCTAACCTCTCTTGGGATTTCTTCAGCTTGCTTTGAAAGCAGGAGTCTTCTATGACAAAGTGTCTAATGTTACCATCTGGGGAAATCACTCCACCACTCAGGTCATTTGTTAGATTGCATTCTTAAATGCGTTTTACTCTTTTTTTTGTCATTCTTATGATGGTTCTGACTTTCTAAATGCTAAAATAAACAAAAAATACCCAAAATGACTCTGAACTTTCATACAATAAAAGCACGTTATAGATCCAAAAGGTTCAGACCAAAGCATATCAAAGTTTAAATTAATGATGTTGCTTTACTGCTGCAAGTGGCACTAAATCTCATTTGTGTGTGAGGCAAGTTTAGGATCAAGCTCAGCGTTTTTGTTTGAAAGTTTCGGGTCACGAATTTAGGATATTTGGCCTAGAATAAATGGCTTGCCTGGCCATCTGAATTTTTTGTAATTTAAATTTGCGGCAATCAGGTTCCTGACTTTTTAAATGCTAAAATCAATGGATTACCCGTAAAAGAGGTCATTAAAGATACAAAGTGGCTGGAGCAAGAGTTTACAGAAAAGGTCCAGAAGGTAAGAATGAACCTAAGGTTGAGTTCCTCACGACTTTCTTTATAAATGCTACCGTTATCTATACATGATTCATCCGTGTTCATTATTACTTTGTTTATAGAGAGGTGGAGAACTTATTAAGAAATGGGGAAGATCCTCTGCAGCATCAACTGCAGTATCAATTGTTGATGCCATGAAGTCTCTCATTACTCCAACACCTGAAGGCGATTGGTTCTCTTCAGGAGTAAGTTCATAGATCCTATATTCCATCAGTGGGATTAGTGTTAATCTCCTGTCTTGTTTTGAAAATTAATAGGTATATACCAATGGAAATCCTTATGGCATAGCGGAGGATATAGTTTTCAGCATGCCATGCAGATCAAAGGCAAGCCTATGATCATAGAATGGCCTTCCTAATACTGTACCTTATTGCTTCATTGATCCTCCAGCCCTTTGTGTTATGTCCAGTAATTTTCCATTTTTCAGGGAGACGGCGATTATGAACTAGTTAAGGATGTAATAATTGATGACTACCTCCAAGGCCGGATAAAGAAGGTAATAAGTGGTGAAACTTAAGATCTTATTAACCTATCGTTCTTTACGAAGTAATATTATAGTGTGTGACACTAACATTTGTTTGCATCCATGAAATTATTTTTATGAGGTTCCAATAGCCTATAACAATACTTTTGAAGCAGTTGAGTTTAGACATCTTTTTGCGTGTACGTTCTGAGTAGCTCTTATGATATGATATATGAGTGCATGTACTCATCATTGTGCAGACTGAAGCCGAGCTGTTGGCAGAGAAGAAATGCGTAGCCCATCTTACCGGGGAGGTAATATTAAACCAAACCATACATCAAATAAGTTTGGACCCTTTTAAGACCCGTGTTCTTTTGGCCTTAATTTTAACCGGAGTTTGGAGTCTAGAAATTTAGGGCTTGTTCTCTTCATCTGATCTGATTTGAATGTAGTTATATCTAAAGCTGTTTCTGTAAAAATAAGTAACAAGTAATAAGAATAAGTTGAAGAGAACATGTTCTTAAACTTAAATCTGAATACTTGGTAACTAGAGTCTGATGGAGTCTAGCTTGATGGATAATTAGAATATAAAGGTTAAATGAATATGTCCTTAGTCAGTCACATAATATTCCTTTTATTTTTGTTTCATAAATATATATATAGGGTATAGCTGTGTGTGATTTGCCTGGGGACACCATGCTTCCTGGAGAGATGTGAGAGATGCAACTCCAAAGCTAAGATGATGTTAATGGCGGACAACACCATCATACTATATATCATTTCGAGGTTTTGTAATAATTAATTTCTATTTTTTTGGCTCAAATAAAGAACGAGATGCATCAACTCTTGCCCCGCCTTTCTGGGTGTTTTTTTATGCTTATAAGCTAGTCAAAATTTTTATAAAACGTTTGACATGTTTTGATGACATGTTTTTTCGTGTTTATAAGCTGCTTATAAGTATAGAAACAAAATAAGATCTTATCTGTTTATAAGTCAATTTTTTCATTTTTCCATTTTGACTAGATTATTTAAAAAACTTTTTCTAACCTTTTTTTAATATTCCCAAATGACTTGACTCTAATTTAACTCATTTTACTTCTATGAAAGAATATTTAACTTATAAGTAATTTATAAGTTAAAAATTGTTTATCAACAATATGCCAATAAGCACCAACACAACATTCTCTTTGTAACAATTGCTTTTAGTCACCCCTTCATATACTTTTTACATTCAACAAAAATTTCTTAGAGCACTAGCAGTAGTGAGAGAAAAAAGTCCTCACAAGTCTCTCTCTACAATTTCTCTCTTCCACCTCACCTTTTTTTTGTGTGGAAACTCTTTTTAGTACACCCCAATGGTGAAGAAGTGCTTTTTTCTCTCAATCCCTGCATGCCACACACTCTCTCTTAGCACTCTTATATTATGTTTTTAGATGTAAGCCTATAATTCACTGTTATTTTAATTCTTGAAATTTTAATAAAACCTTCGTCCCACAAAATATTTCTTGTTTAAACTTTAAAAATCTATAATTTTGGTGTTATTTTTTATTTTATAACTTTTATCCTACACATAGGGGTACACATAGGGGTGAGTATGGTACGATATTTAGCTCGTACCAGACATTTTTGATTCGGTATGAGATTCTATGTCGTACCGATTGTAATCCTAAAATTTTAGTTCGGTACGGTTCGGGATGGTTCCGTATGAGTTTCGGTACAAATTAAATTGGTATAAATACATATGTACCTAATTTACACTTAAAAATGTAAAAAAACCATTTATTTTTGAAAAATAAAAAGTGCATTTAATAAAGGAATATTAAAAACTGAAAAATTAATCGGAGTAATTAAATTCAAGAAATGTTTATGAAACTTAGTTTATATTTCACAAACTAAATAGAATGAATGATAACAATATATTATTTCAAATGATTGTTAATATTTTTAAATTTATATAAAAAAAAATTAAAACTCAAACAAAAGAATGATGTACACAATAAAATTTGAACCACATTTTTAAATACACTTAATATTTGATGAAGAAATATAAGAAGAATATTGTATTTATATATTAGTATATATGTTTGGTTCGGGAATTTTGGTAGGTGAAGTTACCCCGTACCCTTCCCAAATACCGAACCAATCATTCGATTCGGTACGGTTCAATTTATTCAGTATTATCTCGGTTCGGCATTTTTTGGTTCGATTTCTCGGTTTTTTCGAGAATTTTTGGGGTTGGTTTGGTACTTGTAAGCTACGGATCATATCTTACCCTACTATTAAGTAAGAGCAAAATCACAAAATAACATCAAAATTGCACATTTTTAAAGCCCGCCTTTATTCAAACATAAAATATTTTATGGGACAGAGGGAAATAGTATATTTTGTGAAATACGGAGCAATGTTTTTTGTGATGAAAAAAAGTTTCAAATTCAAAGGAAATTTGATTATATTTAAGGAAAAAACATATGCACATTTTTACAATTTTTTTATATCACAAATACCATTTTTCATTGCATTTGAATTGAGATTATCTAATACATTGAAATATAAGGCAAACATACAACAAGTTGCATCGCTAACCCTTTTTTTATAGTAAAACTAAGGGGGTGTATTCAATTCCGACTCTGCAGGATTTTTTTGGATTTTAAAAGTCAATGAGTATTGAATCAAGATTTTGAAAAATCATTTAAAATTTTGAGATATTCAATTGAGATTTTAAAAAATCTTTCTAAATCTAATGATATTGAAAAATTGACAGATTTTAAAGGATTGTTATAAACAATGGATTGTGATGGATTTTGAAGTTGAAGTATAAATAAAAAAATTGCTTCCAAATCCATTCAAAAGGCCAGGGATTTTGTTAGACTCCAGAGCCGGTTTCTTTCTCGGTTCATCTTCTCCATCTTTTCCGCCGGTGGATCTTCATCTTCTCGATCTCCTGCTTTTCCGGTAGAGCTTCCGCCTCTTACTCCTCATCTCCTTCCCTTTCTTCCTCTTTTCTCCATCTCTCCAGGTATGTCCTCTTAACACCATCCTTCTTCATCTCTGTCCCCTTTGCCTTCTTCTTCTTCTACTTGTGTTTGTGTGTGTTTTTTGAGAATGTTGACTTTTTTATTCTCTTTTGGTGTGTTCAATTATAGATTTCATCCAATTATACCAATATGGGAGATACACAAACTTCTTTACAGTTCTTGAGTTGTTCTTAATATGTTAAAGAATTGTTAGAATCTATTTCAAAGATTATTTTGGAAATAGTTTCTCGAGATTTCATTATGCACCGGATGGAAGATGAACTTTGAAACTTTGTGGGTTAGTCTTGTTTGTTTTGGGATTCAATTTTATATCCATTATTCCAGTTGGGAAGTGATATTTATGGCCATTATAAGTGCTCTGTGTTGTGCTTGGTTGTTCTGTTTTTTACATTTGTACTCCGTAGTACTTTTTTCCTGATAAAAATGCATTATGCCTGGTTGAGTTCACTTATCAATGTGTGTGTGTGTACTTATCTTGTTTGGATAATAACAATAAACTGCAGAAAGAGTTTTCTTTAAAACCAAAACGATCAAAGAACAAATATATCTGTGGTTGAGTTTTCTTTTACTTATTATCCACTTATCTTGTGTGTGTACTTATTCTTGTTAAATCCAAAACGATCAAAGAACAAATATACCTTGTGTTTTCTTTAAGTGTACTTACATTAAAATGTTTGTTGTGGGTATATGTCATCCTACTTTTATTTCAGGAAAATATTTTTTGGTTGACTCTGGATTTGCTAATCGACGACAACTTTTAGAACCATTTCGAGGTGTCCGATATCATCTCAAAGATTTTGGAGGTCAAGGTCGTCACCCCCGAAATGCAAATGAGTTGTTCAATCTTCGTCAGCACCATTTCAGGACTACACAACTTTCTTCGTAAAGAGTGTCGTTATGATGAATTTCCTCTAGAACCAGAACTAGAGTCGTCTTCTTCATCCTATCTGGACATGGAAGAAGAAAATTTTTGAAATACTTTCTCAAACTCAAGAACAACAAAGAACAGAAGCTAACGCTTGGAAACATGGCATTGCTGAAGCTATGTGGGGCGATCGACCACAAAATGATGCTAATGAGGAGAATGAAGAAGGTTTTAATGATAATGAAGTTGAAATGGAAGACTCTGTTGTTTAAAAATATTATTTTTCAATTATCTTTAAATTTTAGATAATCTCTTCTTTTGTATTTTTTTTATTTTCATTGATGAACTAGACATACAAGAAGAATGGTTGAGAGACAATAACCGTTTTAGTTGTAAAAACAAATTTATTGCTTATGGCATTGCACTACACGTAGTATTATTTTATTCTAACAAACATATTATGATGATGAAAAAGTTTTTAAAAAATAATTTATTTTTATTTTATTATAATCTTCTCAAAAATTTTAATAGCTAATTACAATAGTTGATGTTACAATAATGTATAATTTTATAAAGTAATTCTTATTTATGTATAAATAATATATGGATTATAAACAATCAGACATAATCCTATAAAATTCTGCTAATAAAATACATTAAAATCTAACAAACTCTGCTTAGACTTAAAATAATCCATGAATTTTACATAATCCATAGACTTTAAACAATGTATCGAAATCTTTCAGAATCGTGATTGAATACACCCCCCTAAGTCTTTCAAAGAGGACAACTCTCTCGATAAGAGTAACATCTATGAAAATGTTAAAATAGAAATCCTAAGTCTTGTAAGACAAAATAGAAGTTCACAGTGCCATTGTTACACTGACACACTCACTACATTATCACATTGCAACTGTCACACTATTAGTGTCGTCACACTGCCATCCGTCGCTGCCGATAACTAGAATGCCGTCGTCGATCACCGGTGGTTGACTGATCATGTTGCTCTAATACACTGCCATCACTTTTTCATCACAATCCCAACACGTACATTTACATAGGTGCATGGATGGCGTGCTCCCCACCAACAAGACTCTGTCTCCGATGTGCTACGAATTTCAAGGTTGATAATTCCCAATCGGCGCGAGGAAGCATGTGACTAGCTGAAAAACGAGGATGCGATGGATATAGAGTTGAACTTCATTGATGAAGTAAGAGAAAAATCTTTCAAGAAAGCTGATAATGATTGAAAGTATATAAAAGACTACTATGATCATAAGGTGAAGCAGAGGAGTTTCAAAGCCGACAATCTTCTGCTACAATGGTGGGAAGTCAGTCATCCCTTAGAAGAAGGAAAGCTTGCCAAAACTTTTGAAGGGCCATACATAGTCACAACGGTTATTCAGACGAGGGCTTACAAGCTAAGCATCCTCAAGGACCGTGAGGTCTATTGACACTAGAATGTAAAGAATCATGTAGATTTTTATGCATGATCGACTAAACGAGTATACGATTACGAGATTTCATGATCTAATGCATCCACGACTGATCTGTAATCACCTCTACACACTTCAAAACAATTAAAAGTTTAAGTTTCATCCCGCTCATGTGTACTCATCATGTTCACTCATTACTTAAGTTTATATATATATATATATATATATATATATATATAAACACACATAATCAGGTTAAAATCAGGTTTTTTCATTCATAATATTTATTTATATATCTAAAAATTACTTAAAATTTCACTTGGTTTAGTATTATCATAGGAGAAAATAAGTTTTGAACACCTCAGAATAGGTCTGAATATGGATGGCCTAGATGCTAGGAGAAAATAGGTTGGGACACCAACTTCAAATGAGTCCTATTAATTAAAAAATAATTAATTGGTCCTACTTAGAGAAAAAGGACAACTTTTAGTCTCAAATGCAACAAGTTTTACATAAGTCTGTGGAAACAGAAATAGAAGCTAAACAATAATAAAGTTGTTTCTGGAAATATAATTAATAGCTTCACGTAGAGTTTGCTGCCCATTTTGCATTTTCATCATCACTGTCATGCATGTACAACTATCAACTCTGACGTCTTGGGAAGAATTTATAATCGGAGCTTGAATAAGCCCCAAATTTAAAATCTTCGCCCTCACTGTCTTCCAAGAGAATTGGCAAATCCCTATAAATAACAGGAGCAAAAAAGAACCAATTTCAGGAACATTGCACATTTGGTAAAAAAGAACCAAATTAAGGAACATTGCAAATTTGGTTTGAGATTACTATTGCTTTTCACAAAAGTCACCAAATTAAAGATTTGCAAACAAAGAGAGTGGGTGCGTAGTAAACCCGGACTTTGTATAAACCCCAAATTGAAAATCTTTTGGCTCAACAACTCCCTTGCCCTCCTCCTCCTCCTCAGTGCTTGGGATTATTTGTAGTGGCAAAGCCCTATAAATAAGAGGAGCATAAAAGAACCAAATTAAGGAACATTGCACATTTGGTTTGAGATTATTATTGCTTTTAACACAAGTCACCAAATTAAATATTTGCAAACAAAAAGAGTGGGTGTGTAGTAAACCCGGACATTGTAAAAACCCCATATTGAAAATCTTCTGGCTCAACAACTTCCTCGCCCTCCTCCTCCTCCTCAGTGCTTGGTCTCTGTAGTGGCAATTTCCCTATAAATAACAGGAGCATAAAAGAACCAAATTAAGGAACATTGCAAAATTTTTTGAGATATTTATTGCTTTTAACACAAGTCACCAAATTAAAGATTTGCAAACAAAGAGAGTGGGTGCGTAGTAAACTTACACAAGGATTGCGGTTAAAACATGATTGTAATGACCAGGAGGGAAGGATCTAATATGAGAATCAATCACAAGACAGGTTTTTCCAACTCTAAATTTTGTAAAATGTAAACCAGCCTGGGCACCTTGTGATTTCACAACTTCAAACATGTCAGCAGGACCAGGATATACTTGTATTAGTTCCAGAATTGCTGATGGATCTTTCGTCTCTCCTACCACATAGGAATTCGGGTCCCTCCACACCAGACCTATCTGCTCGTCTTCCAAAGCAACCAAGACCGTGTGATAATCTCTTTTAGGGCTAGGTAGCACCCCTTGCTCAGCCAAGTCATGGCAAAAATACTCCCCAGTATAACAGTTTAGCACCACCAGTGTTGTGCCATCACGCGTGTCCAACCACATCATCCGGCCCTTGGAAACAATTGCAGGCTCGGATCCTATACACTGACCAAGCGATTCAACATCAAACCTAACCACAGATTGGAACCATTGGAACTGGAAAATTCTACAACAACCTGCCTCATCATCATCATCATCACCATACTGCACTCGCAATACTACCAAAGACGCACAATCTGCAGACCCGAACACGATCAGATTATGCTCCTCCCAGACTCCACAGACAAATTCATACAAATTCACACAACCAGGAGGAGTTTCAACTTGAATCCAACAGCTATTTCCCTCTTCGTAATACTCAATAAAGTTACTAAAGGTTGGGGGACAGACATTTGAGTTTACTCCTCCAATAGCAAACAAAGTGCCTTTCAGTGCCACCAGCTGAGGCTCGCGACGCCTACTATTCATCTCAGGCAGAGCTGTAACACTACCAGTAAAAGAGCTCCAGCAATACACATCTTGCCTACCCCTACCCCATTCCCTACCAGAGCATTTCTCACAAGCATTGTCAAAACCACCAGCACAGTAGATCCTACTTCCAGAGCAGGCGTAGCCAGCAGATCCATGGCGGTGTTCAAGATGTCCAATGGGATCAAGACGCATTCTTGGATTTAACTTGAACCAGTATCCAAAGAAGTAGTCCGTGGGACTGTGAGGCTTTGTGTCTAAAACTTCAATCTGTTTATCATCCAAGGCATAGAAATTGACGCCGTTGACACTCTTCGGGTCATGGGGATAATCAGCCATGTCTATGGCCACAACTACCGATTTCTTCAGTGATGCAAAGGGCGACAAGGTCGACATCTCTGCAAAGTAGAAGAGCAAGAAGAAGATGGCAAGACTTGTTTAACTGTTCTTCTTCAAAATTGTTCACTACCTATGATCACAACCAGCATAATAACTCCAGTCAATGATCAAAAAGTAATTTCAAGAAACCACAAAAAATAGAAAAATTGATGATAATTGCTAATAATGATAATAACAATAACAACAACAACAACAACAACAACAACAACAATAATAATAATAATACTAAAAGGATAAGAAGAGGGTTTATGATACAGAAAGCTCCTTGAAAGATTGCTGCAACAAGCAAACGTATCCAAACACAAGAATGATGAATAAACCACTTTTATATCTACGCATTAAAACATAAAAGGCTCTACATGCAAACGTATCTTTTATTTAAAAATACCAAATCTCAAGAATCAAATATATAAATTCTTAGACGCAGGTTACCGAATCTCAAGAATCAAACATACTCTCTATTTGTATGAGACTGGGGCGATGAGACGGGGGCGTGCGGAGGTGGATGGATCTACACCGGAACCGAAAGCAAACGGATGGAAAGAACGGAGGAGGACAAACGAGACGATATAAACTAGGGCTGGATTACCATTTGCATAAATTATCCTTAGACCTCTCTTTTATTCTATTCCTGCGACTATTTTATGCTCATTAGTATATACTCCCTCCGTCCCATTTTAAACTGCATGTTTGTCTTTTTTCTCCGTCCCAAAATAAGTAGCCTGTTAGTTGTTTTCGTAAACTTTTAAAAATAAAATACCTAAAATAAGTCACACTTCTTCACCTTATCTTCTCATTCATCATCACCCCTCCTAAAAAGTAATGTCAATTTCGAAAAATCAACTCTATTTTTTATTTTCCTTAAATATGTCCAAAAGTCAAAACAGACGATTTAAATTGGGACGGAGGGAGTACATACCTTATAATTATATACTCCCTCTATTCTTGAATATTTGTCCACTTTTCACTTTTTTGTCAAAATTTGTAAATATTGACCTCAAATTAAATAAAAATGATACTTCCTCCGTCCTAAAATGTTCTTCCCACTCACTTTTTAACCGGTCAAACTTTAATCACTTTCTTTACCTATTTTCATTAGGTATTTGATAAAATAATATAGTCTTGTCACCACTTATTTTGTAAAACTTTTGATGTAGTTTTTAAATATATAAATTTTATTTTTAAATTTTACACCTACAATCAAATAAATTGAATTGAAAATAAATCGGTCAAACCTCGTAAAATGAACCGGGAAGAACATTATAGGACGGATGGAGTATTAAATATTGATACAAAATTAGTTTTATTTGATTTATTATATCATTCATTTACAAAATATTATTTTATCTACTTAGAGCATGTTCTTTTGGGCTTGAACTCTTAACTTCCAGTTTCTTCCAGTTCCTTCCCGTTTCTTTCAATTCCTTCCAGTTTTTCCCAGTTCTTCCAGTTTCTTCCAGTTCCTTCCATATTCTTCCAACTATTCCCATTTTCTTCAAACTCTTTTTACTCCCCGATCAATTAATCTAAAAACGATATATTCTTAATGTGATTATTATTATTATTATAACTATTATTATTATTATTACAACTGTTATGTTCATAACTATAGTTTATAAATCATTATTTTAATCTCACTATTTTTACGATTCACAGCCATTATTTTTTTCTTCATCTTTTTAATATAAATAAAGACACTTTTTTGTATATTAAGATGCATGATAAAACAAGAAAACATCAATATGTTAAACTATATTAAAAAATTATGGATAAAATACTGACATAGAATGTTTTTTAATCTAACTTTATATAAGACCTCTTACCTTTTCCTTTATTACTTAAAATTTTCTCATATTCCTAATTATTATAACAAAATTGAAAGTCAAAATAGTTTAGAGAAAAAGACTAAAATAGGAGTAAAACATAAAAAATGTAAAAAAAAAATTCTATGTCTTTATTCCAAAAATAGGACTTTAATGAAAATAAAATGTCAATCATGAAAGAAAAAAAGGTTTGATCACATTATGTGACATGTCTAATATTTAAAACAAAATCTTGTAATATATAAAGTATAATTACAAATATATTATTTATAATCAATACAACTTTAATAAATTGAGGTGCAACGTGGCCACAAAAACTTTTTAAAATTTAATATTTTGATATTTATGCTAACTTTATATTATAATTATTTTTTTGGAAAAATAATTTTTTGTAATTTAATGCAGTTAGGAATCTAGAAATTTAGGGCTTGTTCTTTTCACCTGATCTGATTTGAATGCAGTTATATCTAAAGCCGTTTCTGTAAAAATAAGTAACAAGTAATAAGAATAAGTTGTAGAGAACATGCTTTTAAACTAAAATGTGGATACTTGGTAACTAGAGTGTGATGGAGTCTAGTTTGATGGATAACTAGAATATTAAGTTGAAATGAATATGTCCTTAGTCACTCATAATATTCCTTTTATTTTTGTTTCATAAATATATATATATATATATATATATATATATATATATATATATATATATATATATATATATATATATATATATATATATATATATATATATATATATATGTATATATATATATATATATATATATAGGGTATAGTTGTGTGTGATTTGCCTGGGGACACCATGCTTCCTGGAGAGATGTGAGAGATGCAACTCCAAAGCTAAGATAATGTTAATGGCGGACAACACCATCATCCTATATATCATTTCGAGGTTTTGTAATAATTGATTTCTATTTTTTTGGCTCAAATAAAGAACTGCGATTGGGTTTTGTACACTGATTTGGTAGATAAATTTGTGTTTGTGTTAAGGAACGAGATGCATCAACTCTTGCCCGGCCTGGGTGTTTTTTTAAGCTTATAAGCTAGTCAAATTTTTTATAAAACCGTTTTTAACTTATAAGTTATCTGATGACATGTTTTTTCGTGTTTAAAAGCTGCTTATAACTATAGAAACAAAAAAGATCTTATCTATTTATCTTCAAGTCAATTTTTTTATTTTTCCGTTTTGACTAGATTATTTAAGAATCTTTTTCTAACCTTTTTTTAATATTCCCAAATGACTTATCTCTAATTTAACTCATTTTACTTCTATGATAGAATATTTAACTTATAAGTAATTTATAAGTTAAAATTTGTTTATGATCAATAAGCCAATAAGTACCACATTCGATCTCTTTGTAACAATTGCTTTTAGTCACCCCTTCATATACTTTTTACATTCAACAAAAATTTCTTAGAGCACTAGCAGTAGTTAGAAAAAAATTCCTCACAACTCTCTCTCTCTCTCTACAATTTCTCTCTTCCACCTCACTTTTTTTTGTGTAGAAACTTTTTTTAGTACACCCCAATGGTGAAGTGCTTTTCTCTCTCAATCCCTCCATGCCACACACTCTCTCCATAAAGTTGACGTGGAAAATTTCCAGACGGAGAGTGGAGAAAAAAAGATACACGGGAGGAAATAATCAAAACCCCACTATTGGCATCCAAAACTTGAGAATTTCTTCCATGCCTTTGCTAGTGAAGGGGCATGGATGCTCATCTAGTAAATTCTTGTCATGTGGACTTTTTAATCATGTAAATAAATGAAACACTCCAAATCAATTTAACTTTTAAAAATTACATAATAATCACATTGTTACACTAGCACTTTCACTATATTATCACATTGCAGCTGTCACACTATTACTGTCGTCACACTGCCATCTGTCGCTGCCGATAACCAGAATGCCGCCGTTGATCACTGGTGGTTGACTAATCATGTTGCTACAATGTCAACACGTGCATCTACATAGGTGCATGGATGGGCGTGCTCCCCACCAACAAGACTCCGTCTGCGATTTGCTACGAATTTTAAGGTCAAGTGCCGACCAAGGTGATAATTCCCAATCGGTGCGAGGAAGCATGTGACTAGCTGAAAAACAAGGATGCGATGGATATAGAGTTGAACCTCATTGATGAGGGAAGAGAAAAATCTTTTAAGAAAGCTGATAATGATTGAAGGTATATAGAAGACTACTATGATCATAAGGTGAAGCAGAGGAGTTTCAAAACCGACAATCTTCTGCTACGATGGTGGGAAGTCAGTCAACCCTTAGAAGAAGGAAAGCTTGCCAAAACTTTTGAAGGGCCATACATAGTCACAACGGTTATTCAGACGAGGGCTTACAAGCTAAGCATCCTCGAGGACCGTCAGGTCTATTGACACTAGAATGTAGAGAATCATATAGCTTTTACGCATGATCGACTAAATGAGTATGCGATTACGAGATTTCATGATCTAATGCACCCGCGACTGATCTGTCATCACCTCTACACACTTCAAAATAATTAATAAAAGTTCAAGTTTCATCCAGCTCATGTGTATTCATCATGTTCACTCATTACTTTCTAGAAGCTCGAGTTCAGCGGCTTCTCAACTAAACTTGAGGTCCAACTTAGCTAAGTTAAAGGGATACCTACGCTAGCAAGGAATAACTTTGGTCTAACTCCAGTTAGATCACTATTAGCTGGTTTGTCCAACCCCTTGGAAATAAGGTCTTCCAAGTGTCCTCTAAGGGGAGGTAAGTCTCAAAGAGCAAACTTTGAGAGGGTGCTCTAATGTGGACAAAGAACGTATGCACGAAGAGGTCCCAGTTCCACAAACGGACAAGGCATTTAGATGAAAGCGCATGTATGATCGGGGAAGACAAGTGATACTTGGTGAGTCACACGCGCGTGCACACCAAATTTAGAGGAAGCAGACGAGTTTTCCTCCCCTCGGCATCACGAATCCTGCAAGCTTTGTAACACCCAACTAGCGGAACCCGAACACATGAGTTAACAAATCGAGTTGCTACTAAATTGGTATCCACATACAATATTTTCCTAAAAAAATTAAAAACATTTAATTCAAAACCCAAACATTTTAGAACTATTTGAATACTTACCGAAGTTTATACAAATAGTGTGGAAGCTAAGTTGTTATTTAATCAAACACCACTATGATATTATTATTAGAAAATCATTCATATTAAAAATGCATCGTATTAATAAACCATTTGAGTTCTCACATCCAAACATCTCCTCCGTCATGCTTCCCTCCAGAATGGATTCTAGATTCATCCTTTCCATGATTACCTACGTGTAGCAAAGATGAAAAAGGGCTAGACGCTCAGCAATGAAGCTAAGTGAAAATATCCAACATTCGAATATACATAGAGGCGAATCCACTAATTCATAATTATCACATGATATCATGCACACAAGCATATCATATACAACATCATAAGTATCACATACCAATGTTCATCATTAACAAACATAAACATTACTTTTTAATTACATTAATCATCTGGCTTTATCTTCTTACTAAGCTCATAACCTATTATACGTTAAGGCTTATCCTTATAACTTTCTAATGGAGTGATGACATTCCCCTTCAGAACGAAGGTCACGCTCAAACCAACTCGGAAGTTCCTCGTTAGGTGGGTGAGATCCCTGTCCCCTTCGAAATAGCAGTTCATAGATCCCACATGCGTAATTCTTTACTCGAATAGCTATTGGACCCAGCGAGTACCACAAGACTTCTAACATTTTTATTCTTATGACATACCTTGCCACTATTTTGTTTAGGTCAATCCTAGAGTTCTTCTAGGTAAACTATTTCAATCAGTTACTCCTTCATTCATAAATTCCACAATATCATCAATATGGTCAACATATACACACACACACACACACACACAGATATATATATATATATATATATATATATATATATATATATATATATATATATATATATATATATATATATATAAAAACTAGATTGCACCAAAGAACTTCGAAAAGTAGTTCAAGAATTTCAGGTTTTAGTGTAGGTAATATCTTCAACATTCTCATGATTATCGTCAGAACCGTCACCTAGATCATAATCATCATCGTCATAACTATCTTGAAAGCAAACTTTGTTATTAATTGGCATGTGAATTCGGAGCAAGTTATGTGATAGAACACATGCCAAAACAATATGACCTTGAGTGCGTATAGGGAAAAATGAAGGGCTCTAAGTATTCCCTATCTCCCTTTCAAAAAGTCCAAAGCAATGTTCAATTTCATTTCTTCGGTCATATTGAAATATTCTTCGTCAAATATTGATATATGAACCCCCACTCACAACTTGTATATCTAGCGTCTACCAAGTAATATGTAACTTCAAATGTTTAAGTTTTAGGATTATTTATAAATATCAAAATTTTGTAACGAGCATAATAATTGTACATTAGTATGGTTATACCTTAGGATACTTTTAAAGCATTTAGCATAGAAAGTGCATCTCGAAGGACGCATACATCATGTGCAAAACCTTCCCAACCTGGTAACACATAAATGAACTCCATGTTAGGCGTGCAAGGGCCTAAAACATTCATGAATTAAGCTATGTGTATCCCAAGATTTGTACCCCAATTTGTACCCCGCAAGTTTTCACCTTCATTTTGTGTCAGTGTAATGCTATGATGATAATTCACATAGACACAAAATGTTAGTGCAAATTTTTATTAATACACCAGCATTTTGTGTCAGTGTGAATAATAAAAATATTAGTGTATACCTTTGGTGTAATTTTGGGGTACAATTTTTGGTGTAAGTGTAGCATGATCCAACATTCATGGCAACATTTCCTCTCCTAGTATGATACCTTGGTTTATCCTTAACCGGCACATGCACTTCAATGTAAGTACCATCTAGGGCACCCAAACAATTCTGTTTCAAAAAATAAATAAAAACATGTTAGAAGTATATATTTTAAAAATTTCTTTACTTAAAACATATTTACCATTTGTTATATTACCTTGAAATATATATATATATATATATATCCATGGACTATCTTCACAATCTTCACAAGCTTAATATCGCAAGAAGACATTGATAAAAACATCTACTAACAATTTCCCCACTACGATAAAAAGTTGTCCCGATTGTCCTATTCTTGAATTTGTGGGCCAATGTATACAAAAACATAACCATAGTCTCTTCTAATGACATATGTCTAGAGCCAGTTAAACCATCCCACCACTATCTCTAAGCATTTCACACAATATATACGAGGTGTGCCTATTCATTCAAAGTTCAGACTATTACTTTCTCTTATTAAGGCGTTCAAATTGTTTAATATCCACTCTTTCTTTCCCTAAAAGGTAGCTTCAAAGTTTGTTTTTCATGTGCAACACGTGTCATCATCAACCACATAAAAATTACTCCCTCCGTTCTACAAAACCCTTCCGGTTTTGACTTTGGGAAAAAATAAGGAAAGTGTAATTTTGGTTGACTTTCCAATTTTGCCCCTGATGTGATGGAAAAAAGTAAGATGTGATAGTTTGGTTATTAGTGATAAAGTATGATGTGATAGGTAGGATATGAAAAAGTAGGGGTAAAAGTGGTTTTTTAATAGAAAGTGGAAGTATTTTGTGGAAAGCAAAAATAACGAAAGAGGAAGGGTTTAGTGGAACGGAGGGAGTACTAAAATGAATGCATTAGTAAATGACAAGATCAAAGAGAGCATTCACACTTGTAATGGTTTCTTCTTTCTCACAAACAATATTTCACGAGATGAAACCATATTCTATTAGAACAATAAGACACCAACAATTAAGAACAGAACAAAAAAGAATATCAACAAGCTGTCGTGGTATATATTTTCAAAGACAACCAATACACAAACATAGATGTCAACAAAACAAATAAATACTCCCTCCGTCCCATGAAACATGGGAGTTTTGGTTTTTAGGTGGGATTTAAGGGGAATGTATTTTGGTATTGAATTTCCAAAAATGTCCTTTGATGTGATGGATAAAAGTATGATTTGGTGGATAATTTATTAGTAAAAAAGGTATGATGTGATAGTTAGGGTGTGAAAAAGTAAGGGGTAAAAGTGACTTTTTAATATAAATGAGAAGTGTTTTGTGGGACGGATAAAAAAAGAAAGGAGAAAGGTTTTATGGGACGGAGGGAGTATAAAATTTGCATCGCAAACTGTTTAAAAACAACAATAAACCATACTTTATCAAACATTGATTTACATACAATTCATAACAAAACAAATAAATACTCCCTCCGTCCCAGAAAACATGGAAGTTTTGGTTTTGGAGAGAAATTTAAGGGGAGTGTATTTTAGTATTAAATTTCGAAAAATGTCCTTTGATGTGATGGGTAAAAGTATGATTTGATGGATAGATTATTAGTAAAAAGGTATAATGTGATAGGTAGGGTATGAAAAAGTAAGGGGTAAAAGTGACTTTTTAATAGAAAAGAGAAGTGTTTTTTTGGGACGGATGAAAAAAGAAAGGAGAAAGATTTTCTGGGACGGAGGGAGTATAAAATTTGCATCCGAAACAATATTAAAAAGCATAAAACATGAACAAAAAATAGTTTAAAAACAATTAAAAAGCTCCAAGTAATACCCTTGTAGTGAATAAAACACACAAATAGCTATAAATATATTTTAAAAAATGAAACGCAAGAAAGTTTAATTCGAAAAGATGCGGTCTTTCTGCAATCTAATTGTCATGAATATTTTGTTTTTTGAAAATTTAGTCTTTGCTTCTTGATTGAACAAATTTATTTTTTTTAAAAAAATAATCGACATACTTTTTTTATTCAACAATATAATCAAACCAGAAGATTGGTAAAAAAATTGAAGAAAGAGATACTATTTCGGATTCAAAGAATTTTAAAAAATTAATTGAAAAAATAGGGGAAAAAAGAAGAAAAAGAAAGGAGGGAAAACAATAAGCATACCTTATGTGAAGAAGAGATGAGGAGGATGCAACAACACAGAGATGCACATGCGTAGAGAAGAAAAATCATCAAAGAGAAGAAACCCTTTTTTTGAGTTGGAAAAACTAATTTCCAATTACTCCGTTTCTTCCAATTTCCAATTCTTTTAACTCTTTCAAATTTCTTACAACAATGATTTAAAAAAGTATTTATATGTATGATTATGCAATAACATTATATATCCAAATTTCTTACATACCACCTCAAACACGGATGAAGATGAATTCTTTTTTTGTATCCAAAATTATTTTCTTACATATTTGTTTGGGTGATCATTTAATTAAATAATTTTTTAAGACTCTAATTCTTTCAACTTTTTCTAACTCATTCGAGTTTCTTTCAGCTCTATCCAGTTTCTTCCAACATCCAACTCTGAAATTCCAACTCAAAAGAATAGGGCTGAAGTGTCCACTTGATCGCCAGACTTACACAACTTACGCCAAGAGTCGAAAAAAATAATTCCTATTTCTCATTTATTTGATGTCTGAAAAATAAAAGTGAAATTTGTTCTAAATAATAATAAAACATATGTCTTTCCCAGTATAGCACCTAAAACTCTTTATTTTTAAACAGTACTTGAACAATGTTCAGTGATAGGTTACTTTCAGTAGCAGGTTACTTGAACAATGTTCAGTGTCAGTGAATATTTACTTGAACAATTTTCAGTAAACATTATTGAACAATGATACTACATTGAAAAATTAAAACATACAAGTATAATACTGCTATCTTTTTGTACTATATAAGTAAATCTCCAGAATAAAAGGGATATGGATGGAGTGGCTGGTTATTAAAAGATATCCCATATATCTCAAGATTTTGTATTCGGATTTTTTAAAATCTTACTAAACACCTTTGTTTTCAAATTGATATCTAAGATATGGAAATCTATTACGGAGTATCTTTTTTACTCATCAAATATGTCCTAAAGTTGGAGAAGACGAAGACGACGACTATGAAGTGTTATTCGATATTTTTAACATATTCGCACTAAAATTTTATCTAACATTGTGTTTGGTTCAAGGAATTTGAAATGATAATGAAAAGAAAATTAGATGGAAACAATTCTTCTTTTTTGGTTAGAGAAAGAAAAGAAAAGAAGAATGAAAAGAGTACAACAAAGCAAAATGAAGTAGGAGGGTAGAAAGACAAAATTCCCTCCATTTTGATAAAAAAAAGGGAGAAAATCATTTTTTTTTGTTTTCGTTCCTAATTCTTTGATCAACCAAAATTAGTGTAAGTGTTTTTATAGAGGAAAGGGCAAAGATGTGCAAATATAGTGATTACACATTTTTGTTAATAATTTTTTATCATATATCATTCATTTTTATTTAAAAATGATTTATAATTTTTATAAAATATAAAGTCTTTTTATTATAAGTTACTACATACCTCCGTCTCGAAAATCCTGTCATGTTATGAATTTTTGGTCAAATAGTAACACTCTTTGATTACAAATTAAACATAATTTGAATAAATAAAAGTTATAAAAATTTGATATCTCAAAATTATATCTTAATATGAATCCAATTATATTGAATTTATCTTAAAAATAAATTTCTTTTTAACAATTTATGGTCAAAGTGTGTCACTGTTCGAACAAAAAGGTCAAAACAGGAACGTTTTCCGATCTAGGACGGAAGTAGTATTATTTTCCAAAATGCTTCTTGAAAATACTCCGTAGTACTTTAGCAATTATTTAGAATTTTGTTAGAAACTCTTCTAATTTTAAAGAAAAATACTGTAGCAAGGAAGTTACAACAAAGCTAAAAGAGCACGCTGAAGCTATTATAGGCCTGTTTGGAAATAGCGTTAGAGATTAGCGTTAGCGTTTTGAAAAGACTATCAACGGGTAGTGTTTAGCGTTAGCGTTTTCAAAGTAATCTGCACCATTAAAATTTTATCCAAAACGTTAACGCTATTCCCAAACATGCCCTATGTAGAATTACTGAAAAATTCACTAACTAATTAAGAATGCCGAAGGAATCAAGAAATTGATGTTGAAGATGCCAAATGGAAGGAAATAGATTTGGGCCAAAGCTTTATTGAAGATCAATTGAAATAGAGATTTTTAAGACTTTTTATATTTATCCGAGTCTTAGAAAATATTTCCAAAAGTGATGGAAATATTTTTCTACAGTACTCTTGAAATATTTTTCACATAAAAATGAGTAAGTTGAAAAATGATTTTCGATCAGTTTAGAAATTCTTTATTGAGTCAATTAAAAAATGTGTAACGTTTTATTCAATTTTTTTTTTCATATTCAAAAAATAGTTTATCCAGTTTAGAAATTCTTTATTGAGTCAATTAAAAAATGTGTAACGTTTTATTCAATTTTTTTTCATATTCAAAAAAATAGTTTATTCAAAATACTTCAAACATCATTTAACATAGAAAAAATTGAAAGATTTTTAAGGATGAGAACAAAATAGGATTCCTATAAGAGAAACAAAAAATATATGGGTGAAAACAAAATAAACACTTATAAACATGCAGCACTTAAAGAGGACAAAGAAATAAAAATACCTATTTCTTGTGCATGTATACATGAATGTATACATCAAAAGTTAATGTCATAGACAAAGCTAAACTTGCATTCCTACATTTGTATTCCATTTAATAATCTTACAAATTGTGTATGAGTTTTTCTAGCTAGTAGTGCTGAGAAATTAAAGAGAAGAAAACACAAGAATTAATCCTAAAAGAATACCTATTTTTGCCTGTATGTTCATTTGAAAATGCTATACATTAACATGCTTAAACTATAGTATTCCCTCCATCTAAAAATTATCTTCTCATTGCGTGTTAGTACGTTACGATATTTGATTGAAGTTATTTTCAAAACTTTTACAAGAAATGACGTAAAATTAAAAAATAAAAATTATATATTTAAAAACTAAATCAAAAGATGAGGTAATGTGATTATATTATTTTATCAAATGAGAATCGAAAATAAGCCAACAAAGTGAATATGTTTGAGCTTGTAAATAATGAATGAGAAAATAATTTTTAGACAGATGAAGAAGTATATGGGGAAAAAATTTGTATGAAAACATATCCTAAGATAATAATATAATGAGTTTAATTAAATGTACTTGGTTTGCAGCCAACAATTGGTGGGGTGGCTGACATAAAAATTGTTGGTTCCTCTATCGGCAGCGCATGTTGGTCTTGATTTTCCGGCCGACGGTCTTTATGATCACCTCCGGCAGGTGCAAGGTTGAGATCTAAATTCAAAGAGTCTCCATGATTATCCTTTTGAAACACCCTTTTCTCAAAGCTGCAAGAGGCGACCGTGGCGGCGGTGGCGGCACCGCGGTGGCGCCGCATGTGGCCGCCGAGCGCCTGGCCGGAGGTGAATTCCGCGCCGCAATAGGAGCACTCGTGAATCCTCGGAGAGGATTTGGCGAAATCGTTGAGATGGAGGGGGGAGAAACAGGCTCTGGCAGTCTTGTTGGGCGGGGACGGGTCGTAGTCCTCGTCCCCGCCGTCGTAGAATGCCAGAGCCACCGGCCTCTTTGCCGCCTCGATTGCCAACACGGGCTTCTCCTTCGTGTGGCTCGTGCGGTGCCCCCCCAACGCTTGAAACGTCGGGAACGTGCGCCCGCACGTCTTGCATTCGTAGACGTACATCCCGACTTTCGCGCCCCCTCCCACGGCGCTCGTCTCTACGTACTTTTTGCTGCAGAACTTGCTGCCGACATAATTGTTGTTGTTGTTGTTGTTATAAGCGCCAATGTCTTCCTCCTTGTACGAAGGAGTCCCGCCTCGGGACAAGAGCATGAGGCAACGAGCCATGTCTTCGTCCTCTGCGGTGGGCGGCGTGTCGTGGAGGATTAATGCAAAGCCACCTCCGGAGGCAGAAGCCCCGGAGGCGGTGTTGTCATCGTCTCCGGCGGCGGAGGAGGAATGGGGTGATGGAGTTACCATGGTGAAAGAGATGATAGGAGAATGGGGCTTGGAGCGCTTGGTTCTTTTGCCCTTGTTGGCAATGGGGAGGGAGAGATCATTTGGACCTCCGACGACCACCTCCTCTAGGGCATCCATTTCTATCTGTCCCTCCTCCCTCGCACCACCCAAACCAAACTAACAAAAAATCTATATAGATTGAATGAAAGGTATAAAAACAATAGGGAAAGAGAGATGGAGAAAGACAGAGACTTTCAAAATAAAAATTACAATTGTGAATGAAAGAGGTTTATAAGTCAAATTTTAAAAAATTCACCCAAACAAAGAGTAATAACGACTAAGGAAAGACTTGGTCTCCCAATTCTTTGGAGCCAAATGAACAAAATTCAAGGCGCATTATATGCATGGTGAAATTATTATATAGTGAGACCCTATGTGTACCATATATGAATACTTTTAAGTAGGTCATTTTTATATGGGATGCATCATGTGGATACGGTAGGCACCATTTGTTCATGGACACTATTTGAAACACGATTACATAGACACATATATAATGGCATAACAATTTAAAAAACAAAAAGACACCATCGCACAGTGGTCTTACACAAACATTTTTTGCATAAAATTATTACACCAATTAAATCGGACACCTATGAATAGGCCTGGACACGGAACGGTTTTAGTCGAGTTTCAGTTCTAGAATCGATGATTCCGGTACCACCAGGTGGTGGACCTGCAACTCGCACCCTTTTGCTGGTTGTGACGCTGCTGGTTCTAAAACCAACGGTGACAAGTCTGGCCAGAATACTATTTTTTTTATTTTTTATTTAAAGAGTGATATATGGCTAAAACATTTCTCCAAATGTAATAGTTATTTGTATTAAATGAAAATTGGATAATACATAAGAGTCAACTACATTTTATTTCCTTAAGGCCGGCTAGGTTTAAAAAAGTGACGAAGTAAACAACCGTAACGAAATTCTCGAAGGAATGTATAAGTCGCTCATTTTAAAAACTAATTTAGAATCATTGGAAAAGCTAAGTAAGTCAGCCGCTCAAACTATCACTTTCCTCCTAGGTTGCATCCATGTAGCTCCGAGTTTCGATGAAGTACCCCACCTTTTGTCATCGAAGCCTTGCCAAGAGCCTATCTCGGTTGCAAACTAGTGTCTCGAGTGATTCAGCACTGAGGCAACTCCTGTTCCACGGCCACCATTGACACCTACGTAGATAACACCTGTCTAGCTAGCATTCCAAGTGACAAGAACATGTGTTCATTCCGTTTTTACCATTCGAGGACGTCAAACTCATTTTTGTTATCTTCATCGTAGTCGCATGAGACGCCTTGGTACATCGCAAGCTCATTTTGTGAACTTATTGTTGTACCACTTAAACTTGTAAAGGTCTAGGTACTCCTACTTTTCTTTGACAAGAGTCTAGGCCACCAGGATCCCTTTAAAACTTTTCTTTACCTTCTGAGCAGGAGGAACTTGTGTCTCCTATGGAGGGTTATAGTATGAATAAAAGACGCAAAAAGGTCAATAACAATATCCCTATCCCTCTTCTAGTCTATAATATTCTCATAATAATGAGGAGAATTTACTTAAATAGTACTAAAACATAGTGATTTTCCCTAAATAGTATCATATATGTTTTTTCCCAATGTAGCACTTTAAGTCATTATCCATTAGTCATTATTCAAGTAAATATTCACCATCACTAGACATTATTCTTTCTTCTAGGCATTATTAAGTGCTATTTAAGGAATAAAACAGTCTAAGTTCTATTTAGGGAAATGGTTTAAGTTTTAGTGCTATTTAATGCAAATATTTCTAATAATAATCATTTTCGTCTAAAGTACAACTATAGTTGTACTCCATAAGAATTTTGAAATTTTCAGTCTTAAAACAAGAATCACATATAATACTAATTTTGTAAATATCAAGAATATACAAGTAATAATTACACCACTTTTCCTTCATAGGGAACACATAGGGATACCTTGGTGGATCAAACAAAGTTTCAAAAAAAACATGTAGCAAATTTAATACACTCAAAAAAGAATATGTTACTTGTATGCATGTAAACATGAAGAAAAATAAATTTGCATTATTAAAAACGTCTAACATGTTCAAATTTTCAACAATAATAAATTCATTCAGATCAATCACATGAGAAAGTTCAAACTTAAGAAAGGAAGAAAATTTTTCTTTATACCTCAAAATCTCAGCAACCTCACTGATTGAACTCATGAGATTTATGCCAAGGCGTGTTTATGACCCTAAGTACTCGAAAAATTTGACGTCGTCCATGGCGTCATTCATATACGTTTCTAGGATGGCCGAGACAAGGTGTCTCGGTTGGGAGACTTAGGAGCTTGAACTGCCGGACGTGATGGTGATTTTTTTTGGAATTTTTCTGGTTCAAACTCCCCATATGAATCATTCATCTGACATTTTGTATAATATACAACTTTATATAGATAGCACTCCCTCTGTCCGGAAATAATCTTCTCATTCTATGTTTTTTTGGTCTGAAATTAACTTCCCATTCTACCTGTTTTTCCAACTCTTCTAAAAATATCCTTCTCATTAAATATTCTTTGTTTCTTTTAATTTCTTCTTTGCATTCTTTTTTCTTTTCTTTCTTTTCTTTCTTCTTCTTTCCTCCGCCACTCCTCCATCTCTTTTTACATCCGCCTTTCTTTCATCTCATCCTCACTTTCATTTCTTCAATCTCCATTGCCTCTTCCTTTCCTTCGAACCTTTGGTTCCTCCATCTCCTCCTCCTCCTTCTCTTCTCCTCTCTCTCCCTCTCCATATATCTTATTCTTTATCTCCCCCACCTTTCTTCTAGATCTATACCATGGCGATGATGGTGGCGACTAACGTGATGGTGAGTCTAGATCTATACTTCTTCTTGTTATTTCCTTTAGATATACACTATCGCCATTTCTCCTCGTTATTTATTTTAGATCTGTGCCATGGTGACAGTGATGGTGGACTGAGGGTGATGTTGGGACTGACACAGATGGTGGGGATGCTGAGCATGGTGGGGCTAGCGAAGATGGTTGGAGCACAGGCGGAGAACGGACAATGATGTGACTGAAGTTGGCGGTGGGGGTTGGTGAATAAAGTCAGAACCAGGGGCAGCGACAAGAGATATGCTCACGGTGGTGTTGGTAGCGGTTGGGCTATGGCAAGGATGGTAAATGAAGAGAGGGCATTTTAAATAGTTTAAATCAATAGTCAATCTTTGATAAAATGAAGAAATATCAAACTGGGAAGTTTATTTCCGAATGTAGGGAGTATAATAAAAGAATAGATTTATATTATTGATGATTGAGTGTTTCGGTAAGTCAACTTTCCCAATGAAGGGTTAGTTTTCTCCGAGTGTCGTGTCTCTCAAGGAGTGGATGAAGGAAATTGGCTAATTTTTCCAAGTAGACAAAGGTTTGGACAGGTCTGAAAGTCTTCTCGTTTTAATTTGAAAATAAAAATAAACTAAACTACAGGAATCTTTTGAGAAAAATAAAATTAATAACACATGTATAGAACTAGACTTTGAGGCAAGGCATTATATGGGTTAACTACTGTTGTCACATATTTAATCAGGAATTGGAATAATAATTTTTTGTCAAAAATATTTCATTAACTTATCCTTTTTCAAGATATCATTAATGTGTTCTAAAAAGTTTGGTTTATTTAATTTTATATTCTCATAGAAAAGACAAAAACTAATTTCTAATAATTATTTAATTTTTAATAAATGAAAAGTTACAAATGTTTGACTTTAAATTATTTTACAAGTTAATATTTATTCACGAAAAAATAATTTTATTTTCAACACATTAGAATCCAAATTTATTTATTTACAAAACTTATTAAAGTTAGCCAACAAAAAGACTATATGTGCAGTTTAAAGAAATAAAAATTTAAAATTTTGGCTAATTTTTTTCATAAGAGGACTATTAAAAATAATTCTACCTATGGAAGGAGTAAATAGTGTAAAACAATTTTAAAATTATCAATAGTGATAACTAGATCGATTCAGAGTATTCAAGATCTGGCAGAATGCTGCCAATTAGGTGCTCTTAGGCTCGCCCGAGTAAACCTTTCCACAAAATGACCCAGTAGGAATGGTGGGACAAGTTCAGATCCCGAAGGCGTCACCCTTTGCATCTATTTAAGTACCATTCCAGCTTAGACAGTCATTCGTACATGGTGCAGAAATCACCATATACAAAATGCAACAATGTATATAAAAATATATTCAAAAAATTTTCCCAAACAAATAAAAAAATTCTGTACCAAACTCCAATCTCCCCACCCTTAGGGTGGACCTCGCACTCGAGGTCATTAAGCGATAAAAACAAGAGTTTGGAACAAAGACAATCTCAATTTTTTTATACACAAAAATGCGTAAAAAGGGAAAAAAATAAAATTTATTTACTTGGGTTGCCTCCCAAGAAGCGCTTCTTTAACGCCACTAGCTTGACGTTAGCCCGTTTTTTACAGGTCTTACCGATCCGAAAGTCATAAAGTTTGACTTTTTTTACTCTCTTCTGATGCCAACTTTGTTATGTTCTTTTGCAGTCAAAGTTCAAGATCTTTGACTCATTCTTGTGGCTTGGTGGCAACAGGAAAAATGGAGAAGACTCGTCTAAGATGGGTGGTTGTGAGAGTCTGCTCAGTAAATCCACATCATTGGCCTCAATCGCGGTACATGACGTTCGAAGTCTTCAATGGGTTGACTTTCTGTTGGTGGCTCGACAATTACGGCATGGTATTTCCTTAAGTCTTCGGTGTCGCTCATTAGAAGTTTGTCACAGCTCATTTCACTATAATTTTCCTTCGGGTAAGAATGATCATACCCGTCAAGTAGGGACTCAAAGAAAGCTTTGTCTGAATTTCTCGATGAGACTTCTGCAGTGATAGTTTTTATAGACGGGATGATTTCAGCATACAAGGTAGTTCTTCACCTATAGATTCGTCACACTCATCAGTATCGAAATCAAGGGGGTCGGTGGTGGGCTCAGATTTCTCTAGAACAGGCTCCTCTAGAGAAGTGTCTTCAACACATGTTAGGAGGACATGTTCCTCCAACGTTTCTGGTGCAACTGGTGAAGGTGGTTTCGAGACAGGACCCTCGGTATGCTTCACCTCTTGTACGGCTTGACTTTTTAGGCTTTCAAAAAGCACCACCACTGTACCTCGTGTAATCATTTCTGCAAGTGTTATCTTGTTCCCGATATAAAGTGGTGATAGAGTCTGTTAACATCTAAGAATCGAGACATTGTTTGATTCAGCTTCGGATTTCGTCTCAGATTCGTTGTCATCTTCAGGAACAATAAGTATCTCCCACTCTTCTTGTTGTTGATATTGAATCTGAAGAGTTTTTTTCCATAGCCTTCTTAAAAGCTTCCAGCATCTTTTGCATCTGCTCCAAATGCTCGCGTTGTTCGCTTTCAAACTTCAACTCTTTCTCGATTTGGAGTAGTTGCCTTTCTTCTTGGACTGTTTTGAGAAATCGTTCTCTCGCCGGGATTGCATTTTTGTTTGCTTCAATTTGCTCTTCACAAGTCAGAGAATAATCACGACAATAGGGTGGTTCAAATGATGAAGACTCCACCGCTAATGCTAGGTCAAGATTACGTATTCTTTGCTCAGTCCACAAAATCTCTTCAATATGTGGATTTGGTTGGTCGTCAGGCATCGGCCCTTGATAGTAGTAATCATCTTGATCACCATAGGGTTCATTATAATCCCCATCGTTGTCTTGGTATGGAAAATATCCAAAGGTCCGAGACGGGGAATCGTATGTTGGTTCCCCATGGTATGGATTATAATCAAGTCCATTATTGATTGAGTAGTCATCATAATAGGAGTCCTGATGTGGACAATATGGTAGTGGTGATGGTGGATAGAAATTGGAACTGTTGGGAAAATGATTGTGGGTGGTTGGGTGGTTGGTAGAAGGGAGGCGGATCGTAGTAATCATCTTAAAAATTCATTTTTTTAATGATTACTACAGTGGTTTGTGGAACAGAGGTTAGAAGATCGACCTAGCTGGTCTTCACTCAAGCTAATTAAAAAATTTAAACTAAAACCGTGCCCCTTCCTGGCAACGGCGCCATTTGATGATTGAGTTTTTCTGTAAGTCAACATTCCCAATGAAGGGTTAGTTTTCTCCGAGTGTCGTGTCTCGCGAGGAGTGGACGAAGGAAATTAGCTAACTTTTCTAACTAGATGAAGGTTTGGACAGGTCTGAAAGTCTTCTCATTATAATTTTAAAATAAAAATAAACTAAACTACTCGGTGCTTTTAAGAAAAATAAAATTTATAGCACGAGTATAGGACTAGACTTCGGGCCAAGACATCATCTAGATTAACTAATGTTGTCACATATTTAATCAAGAATTGAAATAATAATATTTTTGTCACAAATATTTTATTAACTTATCCTTTCTCAAGATATCATTAATGTATTCTAAAAAGTTTGGATTAGTTAATTTTATATTCTCATAGACAAGGCAAAAACTAATTCCCAATAATTAATTTTTCTCTTGATATAATTAATTTAACAATAAAATAATTCTAGAACAATTATTACAACTTTTAAATAAACATACAGAGTATAAGCCCGAATTTAGCCAGGACCCTAATCTGAATCCTAACTCATACTCAATATTACCTGAACATGAAATACAAAACATTTCATTAAAATTTGTAAAAATAAACTTACAAACGAGAGCAGAGTCGGGGCCACTTCGGGACAACCGGAACAAAACTAAACTAAAATATTAAAATATAATTGAAAACGAGAACTAGAGAGGAGGTCTGGGCCTTAGAAGACCCTGAATTGGTTGGTTGGAGAATGGAGGGGCGAAACTCTCCTTTTGTAGGAGAAAATCAGTGCAGGCCTCTGGCAGGTGTGGGCCTGAGGTCTAGGTGGGGCCCGTGGGGGCTGTCCGAGCCTTGGGCTTGTTTGCCATTCGTCAGCAGGTACGTAAGTCCAGGCATGGGCATGAGGTCCCGGTGTGGGCTGAGGTTCAGGCGGGGCCTGAGCCAAATTCTTGATTTTATGGGATTGAATTTGTGATGTGCTTTTGTCAGAGGTCCAGGCATCCGACATGTGTGGCCTGTCCGAGGCCTGAGCTGCTTTTCGGCCCAAAACTTCATTTTTCACCATTTTCTTCACCTCTTTTTGCTTCAAGACCCAATTCAATCTCTTCATTGGCTTGTGATCTTTATCTTGAAACAATTTTCTTCAAGTTTGACCTCAATTCTCTTGATGCTATGCATTTTCCAACTTTCACCCTCTTTTGTACAAAATTTAACTCAACTTTTATTCTTTTTACAAAAAAACATAACTTTTGTGCAGTTTTTACAATTAGAAACAAAAAACATACTGTATAAAAATCATTGAAAAATTGTCTTGTTTAATCCAAAACTGAACAATAACACATTAAATATAGAGAAGATAAGTGCGTACAAAACGGACTTATCAATTCTATGTTTGTAATATGACTAATTTATTAATAGAATAGATTTATAATCTATTTATTTAAACAAAAGGAATTTTAATATATACAGAATTGCAAATATAAAATCAATGACAATCTTGAATTGCTCGGTGGTGATCCCAATCTGCTGGATGAGGCACTCCGCCTCGATTATGGTTATCTATTGTGAAAAATAGTTCCGGAAGAAGACTTTTTTGAAATGATTTCCAAATGGGCAAAATAAAAATGGTTATATTGATGAGCACATAATAAAATAGGACATGATTGCACTTTGACACTTCGCCTCTCTCCGATCAAAAGTTGATTGCTCGGGGAAAAAAATTAAAGTTGTAGGAATTGTGTTTCATTCGCCTACCCAAATTTCTTTTTCTATTTTCTACTCTAATTTCCTAAATAGAAGAACGGAAACTTCTTCTTTTGTTAACTAAATATATTAACGCATGCTTTCTTAATTAAAATCAAACAACACTTACCATAAATCTATAGATACTTAATTATGGTGCTAATTAATTAAACTCGTGGTTCAATCAACAATAACTATAAATAAAAAGCTTCATGCCAATATGTGTATATCATTGATGGGTTTTTATCAGGCTATATATATATATATATATAAATAGACTTGGACATGCACCTCTAAATTGACAAAGGCTTGATAAGATTCATATACCTACCAAATAAGTAAGTCAAGATTACTTATTCTGATTATTTGGCTTTTCTACTCTCTCTCTTTTTCCTTTAGGTTTATTCTACTTAAACTAGCTATAGGGTGGGTATTAATTATTAACACACTATTATGTGTTGCCTTGGTTGGGGCTGGGATTCATGCACTTCTCAATCTTCATTGAAAAAATAAAGTAGGTGAAGTGTATTGAATCTCATGTCACCTACTCCCAAATTGTGATCGATGGTTTTGTGGTGAACGAATGTGTTTTTTTATTGTAAAAATTGTTAAAATGAATTGCTATATACTTCATACGTCCAATAAAACGATCAAGGTGAGCTATTATTTATCACAGTAGAATTATTGGGAGTCATCAATTGTACTTATGTTATTCTGAATTTATATTGTATTTTGACTAAATTTATCAAATTATTCAACTCGTCGGGCATACTACCTTTTTTAATACAAATAAATCCGTTGTTCGAAAATTTTCATTTTCATGCGCCATCCTAATATTTTCTTCTCATTTTTTAAGAAAGATTTCGGTGGCTCATTTTAATTTCAATTCCAAAATAAATCGGAGCATCACAAGTTGATTTTGTAAATAATAAATGTGTCAATGCATGATTAAATGTAACTTTTAGGATGAGAAAGTATAAAATACAATGAGAAGTATAGTGGTTTTTTCCCTGTTTTTAAGGTTAATTAAGGCACCCAACGGAGCTTTGAGAGGTAGAAGGCACCCAACGGATCGGAGTAGACATCTTTATTCCCTGTTTTTAAGGTTAATTAAGGCAATCAAAATTCAAAACAACATCATAACCACACCATGCACTTTTTTCCCAAGTCTACTCCAAAATTCTCGGCTTAGAATACCAAAAAAAAAACTTTTCTTGGACTTAGAACTAGCGAGTTTTTGGTTGAGTTAGTTTATTAACATGATGTCAAAATCTTGTTGACCAAGAAATCATGAGTTCGAACAGGCCATAAGAGTCTGTATGTGTATTTGTAGTTTTTTTATATAAAAAAAGAATAAGATTTCACGTACGTAAGCAGCTTGCACGCCTACAACCACACACAAGCTATGTTACACTGTTTCTTGAAATAGGTGCCGCTTCAGTTTCCCGAAACGTCCCCAGTCCGGTACTTGGGCGCGTCCCCACACCCAAATCCTTTATAAATTTTGAAAAAATTTAGCGTTTCACGCTTGTGACCCCGTTCACGTATAAGTCCATGTCCTTTTCTCGGTGCAACTTATTAGTGCACAAGCGCGAAAAATTCGTAAAAGAGTGGGCCCGGACCATAAGAAAGAATTGCGTAAAGGCTCTTTGTTGGTCTCAAGTCTAAAGCGTTTTTTGTCATAAGTATTAATTACTTTTAACATCTTTCATATTATAACGACGTCTAGCTAGTTGTTAGCTATACAAATGAATGGAATGGAATGGATTTGGGAGCTTTAGAAAGTCACTGCTGATAGGCTAGAAAATGGGGGCATGCAGCAGCAGCAGAGAAATGCCGCTGCTGTGTTCAAACAAATTTCTTCTGGTTGAAATATAATCACACATATATGACACACATTCATACTAGTGGCTGGCTGGCAGCAGCCCATATATATGTATATATAGATATATATATATATATATATATATATATATATATATATATATATATATATATATATATATATATAATGCTGCTTTTCATTGTTGTTTTTTTCTTTAATCTTCTGAAAAATTTAATTTTGACCAGTTGAATTTTCACAGCATACATAAATTAAAGAGAGTCAAAGAAGAAGCTAAGGAAGAAGACATACATACATAGAGAGGCAAGCAAGCTAGTTGCTGCCTTATCATACTGATCGAAGCGCGCAAAGAATCGAAGAATGCATCCAAGAGAAGCCACATTCAGCTTCTTGATCTTCTTCTTCTTCGTCTTGACTCCATCTCTTCTTACCCTCACATTCAGCCACCAACACCCCAACCCTGAACATGTGGTCAAAGAAGTTCTAAGGTATGTATGAGTTCTAATTTGAGTTCTTCTTCTTCTTCTTCATTCCCAATGATTCACAATCTTTATTTGTTACCATGTTTCCATGCCACAAGGTGTATAGATATGTCAATCTGAGAAGTTAATTTTAGAACGGAGAGAGTATTTAGAAACCTCCAGGGTTATATTGGCCAGATACTAAGCTTTGAAGAGTTAAATTGAGTTCTAATCTCATTTGGTCGAGATCCGAGAGTGGGTAAATTTTGTCATTGGTACATACAAGAATTTCATGTTTGGCATGTTTTTTTTGCAGTTGTAGCCAGAATTCAAATCTAAATCAACCCCTGTGAGAAATGATACTATTCTTTCGACCAAATGAACTAACTATAGAAAAAGGATGAGTTCCATCTCCGATGGTCCCTTCAAACCTGACCGGACGGTTACTGATAGAAGATTAATTAGGCTTTGATCGTAGATTCGTATTAAAGAGTGGAATATGAACCTAGTACTTGTAGTGACACTATGCTTAACATAGTTGCCTCTTAATGTAGTTGTCAGGAATCGAACTCGAGTCTACCTCTTTACACTCTTTTGCCAAATATGCAACGTCTAACGGCACCAAATGAACTAACTATAAATAATGGAGTTTGAAGGGTAATTGGGCCTCTGTGGGACATGGTTCTAATAGGAATTGAAGTTAAGGTTGGGTTTGAATAGTTTGGTGATTCCGGGCAGTTTAGGTTTAGGTCTAGACCAAAAAAATGGGTCGAACCGAACATATAGATCTAGAACGAACTCAGACAAAAAGAATTTGGAATTGATCTTCAATCTGAATTATTTTGAATTCTGGATTTCGGCCCGATTTCATCTATAACTAGATATCATTTGGTTCAATCGAAAGAACAATTGCGAATACTCCTTATACTCCTTTTGTTCACCAAAAGATTCATAATTTCACTAATAGATAAATAAGGAGTGTATATTTGCACTTGACTTTTGAATTTCACCTTTGATGTGATGGGTAGATTATTAGTGAAAAAAAATATAATGTGATAAGTAGAATAAAATTATTAAGGGTAAAAGTAATTTTTAATAGAAAATGAATGTATTTTGCTAAAAAATGAAGTGTTTTTTACAACAAAAGGAATATTTTTTTTCCTATTTTACTTTCACCTCCGCGATCTCACCCCATTTCACCCCTAATTCTTCAAAACCCAATCTTCCTCCACAGCATTTCCAATCTTCAAAAGTGAATCTCTAATTTGATTTGGTTTGGTCCAGTTTAAGACCGATGAACAACGCTATTAGTGATGATATTGTTTGTTACTCAATAGCACATCCCAAAATAAACGACCATGCTAGAGTGTACCACAATTTGTACAATGCAAGTGTGCTTCACAGTATGATAGTGTACACTGACATAAAATGATAGTACCATCACAATCATTTTGTGTTCTAGTGTCAACAATCAAATTGGCACAAAGGGTGAGGACAACCTCGGGAACTCGAGAAACAATCCTTGATGTAGAAGTAGGTTTGTTACGTTCCAAAACAAACTTTAGAATTTGATGGAGGTTTATATGTGGTGGGCAGGAGAGTGAATGAATCAGTGACGACGAGAAGATCCCTTCAGTCTCAGCCACCACCATGCCCGACCGGGAACTCAATCGACGACTGCTGGCGGTGCGACCCGAATTGGGGCAGCAACCGCCAGCGGCTAGCTGACTGCGGGATTGGGTTCGGGAAATATGCAATGGGCGGGAAAGGCGGGGAGATATACATGGTCACGGACTCATCGGACGAGGACCCCTTAAACCCGAAACCGGGCACTCTCCGGTACGGGGTGATTCAAGAGGCCCCGCTGTGGATCATCTTCCAGGAGAGCATGGCCATCACGCTCAACCACGAGCTCCTCGTCGGCAAATCGAAGACCATCGACGGCCGCGGCGTGAACGTGCAGATAACCGGAAAAGGGTGCATCGTCCTCCGGTCAGTGACCAACGTCATCATCAGCAGCCTCCAGATCTACAATTGCGTCCCGTCTAAGGCGGAGCGAGTGCGGCTGAGCCCGGATTTCGAAGAGGAGGTGTCGGGATCGGACGGGGACGGGATATCCGTCCAGGCGTCGTCCGCCGTGTGGATCGACCATTGCACCCTGGCGAATTGCGCGGACGGCCTGATCGACGTCACGGAAGGGTCCACGGCGGTGACCATATCCAACAACTACTTCTCCCACCACGACAAGGTGATGCTGCTGGGGCACAGCGACGATTACCCCGCCGACAAGCGGATGCAGGTCACCGTCGCGTTCAATCGGTTCGGGGAAAGGCTGGGACAGAGGATGCCGAGGTGCAGATTCGGCCATTTCCACGTCTTCAACAACGATTACTCGGCGGGGTGGGGAATCTACGCAATCGGCGGCAGCGCACAGCCGACCATCAATTCCCAGAACAACCGCTTCGTGGCGCCGGATAACCCTAATTTGAAGGAGGTGACGAGGCGAGAAGAATCAAGCCAGGGCGAGTGGTCACGATGGAATTGGAGGACGGACGGAGATATATTTCTGAACGGAGCGAATTTCGTGGCCTCCGGCAGCATCCAAGCCGACTCATACACCGATGCGGAGAGCTTTAATCCCGCCGGCTTCAGCGAGACGCTGACCCAAAACGCCGGCGTCCTCAATCGCAACCAAGGGTATGTCCATCGCTCCTCCATTATTTTTGAACTACTCCATCCCTCGTTTCTTTCTTTTCATCCAATGTCAGAAATTGGTATATCAATAAAAAAATAAAAATTATATATTCTCTATTAGAAAACTACTTGAAATTTTCTACAAAACAAGAGGTGACAAAAATATTTTATTTTATCAAATATTTAATAAAATCGCGTAAACAAACAAAAGTTATCGAGAGGAGAAAAAAACAGTTGTAATCTAATTGGGGAGGAAAGGAGTATAAAGATAATACTCCCTATTAGATATTGGTATAGAAGTACTTCTATTAGATTTATTATATAAAATATTTTTAAAATATTATTTTATACTCCGTATAATTAATACTACCTACGTCTCTGAGTATTTTCCCAGTTTATAAGTCAAAGGTTGGAAATAATTGACCGAAAAACGTCAAAATTGGACAAATATTTCAAGATGGATGGACTACTTTTGTAGATCTTTTGATATAGTTTTTTAATATGTACGGAGTAATTTTTATTTTTAAATTTTACACAATTTTTCATATAAAATAATTTGAAAATTACTTCAGTCAAATATCGTAACGCGCAACGGGAAGTTTATTTATAGATGAAGGGAGTATCATATTTTTACGTTATATATTCACATATAAATATAGAAATATTAATGCCCATTTTGAATGGACGTAGGAACATTCCCATCGGCGGCGGCGGGGTGAGCAATATCCCAGGCAGCGACCAATGGGATATCGTGTTCACAGGCGGAGCGCCACCACAACCACCCACCACAGTCCTCTTTTGGTCGTCATCATTTCTTCTGCTTGTATACCCTACCTTCTGTAGCCTTTGGGGGCGCTAATTCAATGGATTGTGAATTTAATTTAATCTCTTCCCCAAAAACAGAATGGAATGTAACTGAATTGATTTGGTTCAGATTCCCTTTTTACTCATTTACCCTCCCGTCCGAAAATGGCCTCCATGCAATCCATTTGGGGAGAGGAGTATACTGTAAATTTAGTTATTTTTTCTACGCCATGCAAATTCATTTAATAGCTAGTTTGGTCTCGAATTGTTTTGTTTTATTTATTTTTTCTAACTTTAACATAAAAGTATTAAAAATAAATAATGTTAAAATAATAACAATAGAAATATAATAATAATAATAATAATAGTAATAGAAATAAATTTTATTTCTATTATTATCTTTTTTGAGTAAATTATTATGTTAATTATTATTATTATTTATATTTGAATTGATATTCTAATAATTATTATCATCATCATCATTGTTATTATTATTATTTGGATTCGAATTCAAATTATTATTATTTCTATTATTTGAATTCAAATTCAAATAATAATATTATTAATAATATTTATTTATTTGAATTTGAATCAAATTCATTTAGATCAAATCCACTTACATCAGATTAGATCTTTTAAGATCAAATTCATTCAAATCAAATTAGATCAGCCTTAAAAATCTATCCACCACGTACTACACGGCACCAATGACATCCTTGTTACTCCCCGCGTCTCAATATAAATTGCATGTTTTAATTTATGATGTTTGGTTGTAGTTATTTCCAATGCAATTTATATAAAATTGAAGCGACGTTGAAAATTAAAATGTATACATAAACAATTACATAAAAAACTCTGCAAAACAAAGATTGACATGACTATATTATTTTATCAAATGGGTAACGAATATAAATGAAAAAAAAGTGAATGAAGTTTGACCTTATGAATATTAAACAAACACCTTAATTTGAGACAAAAGGAGCAGTTGTCATTATTTTATCTAATTGATATATTCTCTGCATCCTTAAAAAGTTGTCACAGTATGACTTTTTATCTAATTGATATATTCTCTGCATCCCTAAGGGGTTGAATCCGTTATATATTACTTCCGTCTCAAAGAATTTGTTCAATTTTAACTTTATATATTGAGTAAATTCTATAAAAGGTCCCCATTTATAGATCATTTTACATATTTAGTCGCTACATATCAAATATTACTAATTTAGTCTCCAATTATTATATTCATTTCCACGAATGATCCTTTGTTAACATTTCCGTTAAGAACGTGGATAAAATTGTAAATTCACACTCCTTTCTCTCCTCAATTAAGCTTTCTCCATCCCCTCACACTCCTTTCCCAAACCCGTATCTGAGTTTGAAGCTTTGAACCCAAAACGAAATCATCACTCTTCTCTCAATTGTTTGTCTAACTGGTAGAACCCAAATTCGAAACAAGTAACCTTCATGGATGAGTTTTAATGTTTATTTTCTTTGTAATTTCTTGAGACTACCGATAAAACTCATCTATAAAGTTTATTGGTTTTGATTTTAGATTCCACCAGGAAGACTAATAATTGAGAGATGAATGATAATTTCAGTTTTGGGTTTAGAGTTTTAAACTCAGCAACGAGCTTGGGAAAGAGTACGAGAGGGGAGAGGAAGCTTAAATGAGAAGAGAGAGAGAATTATTAATATATAATTTTATCCATGTTCTTAACAAAAACGTTAACAAAGGACCATTCGTGAAAAATGATAGAATAATTGAGGACTAAATTAGTAATATTTGATATGTACGGACTAAATATGTAAAACGACATATAACTGGGGACCTTTTATGGAATTTACTCTTTTATATTCAACTAGAATTGACATTTAACTTACAAAATTACTCGGTATATTAACTTGATAAAAAAATATTTTTTCAAGATAAACCTAATAACGTTATTCCTTGTATCAATATCTAATACAAAATTAATTTAATAAATTTTCAAAGTTTATCATTTTTATTGCAAAAAGTTAAACTAGACCAATACTTCGAGACGGAGGCTCTCCCTCTCATTTAAATTGCATGTTTCCTATTTACGTCAATTTTAATTTTCTTTCTTTCCTTATCTTTATTACTCATTTGATATAATAGTATAGTCGTGTCACATCCTGTTTTGTGAAATTTTTAATATACTTTTTAAATTTATAAATTTTATTTTTTGAAATCACCCCTATTTTTAAATAAATTATTTTAAAAATAATTTCTTTCAAATATCATAAATCAAAACAGACAATTTAAATTAAGAAATATAAAATACTAAAGAAGAGCTATAAATGACTTGAATCCATATGTAAATAGATAGTGGGGGGCAGAGGAATGAATGTTCTTCAAATTTGCAAGGGGTGCCCTCTGAACCATAAACTTTTTCATAAACCTGATTTTTGAACTGTAAAATCCTATTTTTGATACCATTCAATTATGATCGATATGAAAATGATTTCTCGAAATAAATATGATGTTTTGACCTAGGGTGTTAACACTGGATGCTAGGATGCTATTTTTTATTGAATATTATGATGATTATTATTAATTATTGATTATGATTAAACCTTAATAAATTTCCTAATTAAAATTTTAATTATGAATGACTGAACCATAATTGAAAAAATATTCAGATGATTATGAAAGTGATATTGATTTTTAAGGGTATCTAGAAGAAGTCTAAGATATACTCATGTGACCAATTTCCTTAGGCCTTGCGGCTATGACTCCTAGTGACCAGGGTTAAAACGTACGTACAAAATCCACAAACCAAACTTGAGTATCTACTCGTTTGAGGGTACCACCCAACCCGATGGTGACTAATCCGCTGTTCGGTTTGAGCGTGATCCAAAGACTCGTGAGATGGATCATCGATTCTTGTGTTCTATCTTAAACTAATATATATACTTTAAGATCCCGGTAAGAAATATTGTCTTAGACTAATTATAGTTTAAGAGCTCAGTTATCAATATGAATTTAGCCTTACACTAAGAATAAGTTTAAGAGCGTTGTTATGATTTGCTTTACACTAAAAATAGTTTAAGAACAGTGTTCATATAATAAATATGGAATGTGAGAGCACTGAAAATGGTCTTTCAAACTTCCTCTCTGTCACATCAGCTTTAACTTACATCAACAATTTACTAGAAATGGGTTTGAAGCCCCGGGGCTTTAAACTGGAACTTCAAACTTTCATTTTTTACATTTTAAATGCACATCTTCTAAAATTAATTTAATAAAATTTAATTATTAAATTTTATTCATTAAAAAAATTACATTCATGAACAATAAATACATTCATTAATTTAAAAAGATTACATTCGTTCATTAAGAAAATTACATTCATTAATTAAAAAAATTACATTCATTAAATAAAAAAATTACATTCATTAATAAAAAAAATTATATTCATTGAATAAAAAAAGTACATGGTGCGATAACGGGAAAGGGGGGCGGGGGGGCCTCCAACGGCCAAATTTTGGCCTACAATTTGCGTCAAAAGATTGACGCTGCAAAAATAACGATGCTATAACAGGAAAGGGGGCGGTATTTAACTCCCCCCCCCCCCACGCATCAAAATGAGCATAACGCCGCTGGGCGTTAGTGGTATTACCACTGCCCTAAAAATCAAAAGGCATGTGTTGATATCAAATGATCTGATAGGAATTAATATTGAATATCTAAATTGATATATTATGTGCATGATATCAAATGATTTGATTATGAATTGAGATTCAATTTATATGGATGTTCAATGCATTAGATCTCCTTACTCAGATTCACCGCAGGGCGTGTAGTATGTTTTATTTGCTACACGTAAGTAAACAAAAAGAATGATATAACATGGATCTTGCAGCGCACAGAGGCGAGATTGTCATGATGGATGTGATGGTTTTAAATTTTTATTTCAAAAGATATGAATTAATTGTGTTTGTGATTATGATTTGTTAAAAGCTTCCACAGCGTTGAAAACTCACTTGTCATTATTTTATCCAATTGATGTACCATTTAATTTTTATTTAATTAAAGATTAGAAGTCGATCCTTATGAGTGTATAAATCTAAAATAGGACAAATACTCCAAGAAAGATATATCATACTCCGTATATTTAACAACCACAACAAGAGTTCTACAATACAATAGTTACATTATTTTTTTAAAATGAATGTTGCAAATATGTATAAAAAGTGATTAAGATTTAACCTTATAATTAGTAAATATGTAAATTAAATTGAAACCGAAGCATTAATTAGAACTTTGCACATTTTAATGAAAATGTGAAATTGGAAAAGAAAATTAATCAAACACGAGAAGATAATTTAAGACTCAATTACTTGAGATGCCCACACCTATTAGAAATTGCAGAACCATCCATTAACCGTAGAGTTGTTTTATTATGATCATAAGGTCTACATGTGAATTTCATATATTTTTCATAGGTTTATAGTTCAACTTTTTTTTCAAGGCATAATACATCTAATCATTTCATTTACTAGATTCATAAAATGAATATAGACCTAAAAACCATCAAAGAATTAGCAGTCCTTTAATATAATATTTTGTCGCACAGAATTTTGACATGTGGCGGGTCTACTTGGCATTTTTTTAACAAGTCATCTGCCACGTATTTAAAAACCGGACCGGACCAAACCGTAGAGTTGTTTTATTATGATCATAAGGTCTACATGTGAATTTCATATATTTTTCATAGGTTTATAGTTCAACTTTTTTTTCAAGGCATAATACATCTAATCATTTCATTTACTAGATCCATAAAATGAATATAGACCTAAAAACCATCAAAGAATTAGCAATCCTTTAATATAATATTTGGTCGCATAGAATTTTGACATGTGGCGGGTCTACTTGGCATTTTTTTAACAAGTCATCTACCACGTATTTAAAAACCAGACCGGACCAAACCATTCGATTTGGATCGTGAACCAATTTGAATCGATAAGAACCAGCCGTTCAAACCAGTTACCATGGTTTTTTTTTCTTGCAATTTTTTTCCAAAAAATGCCTTTGTGGGGGTTTGAACCCAAAACCTCCTAGACATTTGGTTGAGTTTCTAGCCATCCAAGCAAGGATGATTTTTGTTATAAGTTCACATAACCATTTATAATATTTCATAATTTAAAAAAGGTTGTATAAAAATTCCTTTTCAATTTTAAAAATATATGCTTTATATATAAAATTTGAGAGTTGAGCTTTTAGAATTGTGACATGTGGCACGTTTA